ACAGCGTCATTCCTTTCAATGTATTAAATGTTGATTCCTAAACCCAAGTGTGCTCATAAATGTATTTATATCTTACCGCTTGAGATTCTGATCCGTTCTAACAACGTTCGTTCGACCGAAGTTTATTGATCGCCTGATATTGAAACTGTTCAGTGTTCTGTGCACTCCCTGCTAAATGTCTCACTAACCAGTGGATTATATTTTTGCGGGCCAAGAAGAAAGCTCGCTTTCTTTCAAAATTGATTGCCGTAACAAAACGCTTATGATGTGTTCCGCAATCACACATAAGACTAAAAGTTCGCAAACAAAAAATTGCAAACAAATTAACAAATTTCGTTAATTCCCTAATCAAATCGCTTATGTGTGTGTGTGTGGGTGTGTGTGTGTGTGTGTGTGTGTGTGTGATGAGCCAAAGGGGCACTTCTAAATGTTGGCGAATTTTTTACGCGAATGAAGAAAAACATACATTTATGATGGGATACCCGTTATATCGTATCCGTTTGAGTGTTAATGAAAAAAACAAAAAATGATAAAATTACTTACTAAGCTTCCCCAACCTCCGTTGATGAATATAAAAACTTAAATGCTCGTTAGTTTAACACAAGGGCGTGCACTGGCTAGGCTGTAAAATGAAAACTTGTAATTATTAAATCAAATTTAGCCACAGGTCGCCAATCAAATCTATACATATGTGCGAAACGTGTACGCAGATATGTAGCAGCAACAAAATATTGTACGCGCTCACACAACTAAAGTCATAAATTTAACTATTTAAAGAATACATATATCTCTGAAAGTCATAAACTCTTTTTAAAAACTTCTTAAAATTAAGAAAAACTATTAACTCTTCGTTGACCGCTAATCACCTTGGCTACGAATACTATGAGTGATAAAAAATTTTTCAATTATCACATTACAAGAATACAAACATCAATCCACTTAATGGCATAATACTAAGACTTTGACAAGCTATCCAAATGCATTGCATTATGAATAGAACATTAAATGGAATGCGGTTATTGTGACACTATGTTAACGTGGCAAACACCTACACAAATTACGAAAAAAAAAAAAAAAATACGCTTTCTTATTATTATTATTATCTTTTCATGCTGCAATACTAGCTGGATTTTATTCGCCCAAGGCCTCGCCTAACTACAAGTCTTCATTTATTTACCAATGTACCAAATAATGCCAAAAATTATACCTTGTCCGCTTGCAAACGCACACTCTTCATGAAAGTCTTACGAAGAAGTGAGACGAGACCGTGAACTGATGTGGTTCAAATTTTAATAAAATATATATGTATATATGTATACAGGTCATAGGCACTTTTGCTACCCATTCTGTTCACAAATTACAAGAAATTAAACTTTGTTGGCATTATTGGCACTGACATGATTGACATTTGATTCGAGCCCGCTTTTATATTGAGTGAGACTTCACGTTTCATAAGAATGCTTAGGGGGGCGAGTCCAAAAGTTCAAATTACATAGTACATATACAGGCCATTTTATAACGAATTACTATGGATCGATTTCATTGTATATTAAAATTTAAATCATCTTATTATATAAAGCTTACTTTTCACAGGAACGCTTGCATCATATATATATATAAATCATGGCTACCAAGTTTCTGGGTTCGTCACTTCAAATCTCAATACGGTAGGATTTACTTTAGTAGTGTAGGTATAGAGAATAAGCACAAAGGCGTAACACTTATTGATTGGCCACACACCCACTAGAATGCGACCGCTTACCTGTCTCTTTACTCTTCGCTTCTTGTTGACCGTCGCCATATTACACGAATAGGAAACATTTTCGGAATGTTTGGTCACAAAATAAAACAAAAAAAAGTAAGAAAGAAATTTCGAGAAATTAAACCTGTCTAGTCGAAATCCTTCAGATCAACGAAGTACGCAAAAGTTACAATTTTTTTTTCTTATAAATACATTTTCAAATTAAGGCGTAAAGTGGGGAGCGCGTGCAAATGTGCTCCCATCCAATTCAGTTTTCATTACCTATTACCAGTGCACCGTATCAGGTGAAGAACAGGATCAACTAAATCGAATAAAACGCGTGTCTGTCGTAAGTCCTTCTCGACGCTACTTACATACGCATATGCTTACATCACCTTGTACCGAAACTGATGTAGAATATAACAAATCCCATAGAGAGGTGGAAACATTCTGAACCCTTTTCTTCAATATAACCCAATAGCGATTAATTTTAATAGATGTGTGAGGAAAGCTTATAGAAAATCGAGCAACACAAACAATTTAGCTGAATAGATATTTTTCGATTTTTCATTTCGTTTTAAAGGCTTTGTTTTACGCTTTGCTATTCGCTTTGTTATGTAATTGACAGTTCACTAAAACCAGGTGATGCGTCAAATACGTGATGTAAGAAAATGATTTCTAATATAAATCTTTAATGGCAACATGTGGCCTCAATAAGACAAGAATGCATTGCTATCGTATTCAAGCCGTGATCCGGTGTAACATGAATCGACCGTCAATATAAGTGACATCGTTGCAGTATTTCCATCTGAATTAACATTACAAGAAATAATTAAGAAATACTTACGAGGAAGTCATCATCCCAGAAGGCACAACATTCTCGATATCCCTCGGTCAATATGTTAGGATAATATATTATAGATTGACATATTCGCGGGAACTCTCCTATCACATATCACATAATCTTCATCTATATGTCATATGTTTCGAATGAACAGCAAACTATTATCAATTAAAGTTTTGATAAAACTGATATGTTTTACTAAAAGCGTTGTAAATTTACCTAAATTATTTAATTATATATCCCTTTCGGCTCTCTCTCTCTCTCTCTCTCTCTCTCTCTCTTTTCTACTAAAATTTAAGTGTTACGGTAACTAATAATAGCGTGCACTAGTTGTGTTATTCTGTGTTTGTAATTTTCATAACGATGTCAACTAGAAAAGGATGAATCCTCACATGCTTGCACATATGCGTTTACTCTAAACAGGTAATCAAAACCATATGGAGCCTAACAATTGCGAAGAGCCTGAGTTGGTTGGACATTTTGATTTTTTCAAGGCTCAATACTTTTCACAATCAATAAATTGTCTTCGTTTTATTGTGTGCAGCAACTACCTCTCGGTGCATCTTCGCCTGTCTGTCGCTTCGTTCGTTCGCCTTACGTCCGCCTGCATTTCCGTCTTTTCATCTTTTTAAACTTTTGATTGAAATCAAGAAAAATAACATTCCCATGTCCTTAATGATGATTCTTGATTCAAGCTTAGATAAAAACATCAAATGTACAATCGTTGTGAGTTGTAAGATCCAATACATATACACAATGGAGGAATTTCGTTTTTAAATCTCAGTTTTTGGCATTCGTTTTTTTAAAACACCAGTAATCGCTAGGTAACTGAGCAATATGGATGGTATCAGGAACGCAAAGTAATCAAACATACACAATTATACAATTTACGCGTTTTCTGTCACTCATTTTTCTATGTTTTTGATGAAATATCCTTGCGGGCATTTTGCCAAAATTTCATCAACAAAGTTAGAAAAGTAGTCGACGAAACTCAAATATACGCAAACACGCTCTAATCCAATTCATAATTCAATCTTTTTTAGATTTCAAGCAAAAACTAAATGCATATATCTTAAGCGTAAACAGCCTAAGCAATTGGTCTGGACGATAGATAAGCTTCTGCACTTTATGTATTATCTGCGTCAGAGTTTTATGAAAAAAAAAAAAAAAAAAAACACACAAAAAAAAATGCGCTACCTTTGCTAAGAGATTTCTGTTACATATTTCAGAAAAAAATAATACTTCCAACTGAACTGCATACCTGCAGCGTATTATGAACAGCATATCATAATCAAAAGGTTTTGATCTTCGGCTGATAAGCGATGAAAGAAAGCTTCAAGAACTACACAAAATTATTGGATTTTATTAACTTTTTTTCTTTTTATTATTGTTATTACTTATTTGATTTATTTATTTATATTGTATATAGGTATGTATATGTTTGTTTGTTTGTTTTTTTTTTTTTTTTTTTTTTGCTTTTTTTTTATTCTTATTTTTCTTCTTCTTGTAATTAAGGAGACATTTACGTCAGCATAACAAAAAATTGAAAGTAATTATTTTGTAGTATATAAAAAAAAAAAAAAAAAGGCATAGATATATACGACAAAATATATAAAAATATATATATATAAAAATATAAATATAAATATATAAATACACAAATATCTACTCGAATATGTATATTAGACATAGAATTTTTGAATACAGACGAATACGTTATAAACATTTATATTGTATATTATAAGCAACTTAATAAAAATTCAGTATTAGAAGATATATATATATATATATATAAAAAAAAAATAAAAAAAAACGTAAAGAGAGTAAAATTAATTTTGATTCCATATGGATCCTTCAAATCGATCTTTTAAGCTCACATATCGGGTAATCAAAAAAGTATATATCGGCTTTCATAATTGAAATTTTCAACGAATTACTTGCCAATCGCTGTGCACGGAAAACAGTTTTACTTAACAGCAGTAAAGCAAGTCATTCGGTGTTCGCGTTTGAAAAAGTTCAACTTATTCTCTCTTTCAATATAATCGAACGGAACAGAAAAAAAAAAAAAAAAGAACAAAACGATCCTACAAGTCCATATTGAGTGTTCCGAGTAAAAACAACCCGGGGACATGTTCAAAAAAAAAAAAAAAAAAATTTGAAATGAATTTATAAGCCGTAGGAGAAAGTTTTACAGTAGAATAAAGAGAGGAAAAACGCATCCAATTTTTTCTGTGCCACTTAGCGGTAACAGTTTTGCTTACCTAATAAGAGATAAATAAAAAAGGAATTTTGAAAAAAAAAAAAAACCAAAGCATTGCGACACTTGACTCTCAAATTCATGAAAATCGCAAAGATTGTTTTTAAAGGAAATTAAAAATTTCATATGTAATGATAATAATAATAATAATAATAATAAATCTCTGGCATTATTTTCAATCCATCAGAAACCCATGATACAGTTTAACTATAATTTTTACCTAAAAGCAATGCTGCTACAATTAGCAGTTAAACACGGTCTCGTATGTTTTAAGCGGTAGCGTGGGGATGTTGATAAGCAGCAGCCGTAGCCCATGGATTGGGTGGATGATGGTGGAATGCTGAGGTCGGTGCGGGATACGAAGAAGTTGTAGAAAATTCAGGATAACTTGGATATTCACTTTTCATCTGGCCAATTATGCTGGAATAATTAGCCGCCGAATGCTGCATGTGAACGTGAGAATGTGCATGGGCGTGCGGATGATGAGAATGACTGACAGGTGACGAACCACCACCTGGTGCTGACATCGTTAGACCGTATTCAGCGGCTAGTTGAGATTCACTTTGCATTGTTAAATTTGCATAATGTTGACTGACATTTGTGGCGGTATAGGTGTTTGTATGAGAAGAAGAGGACGACGACGACGATGACGACG